AGAGAATGAGAGAGAGCACGAGAGGGAGGAGGGTCAGAGGGAGAAGCAGACTCCCCGCTGAGCAGGGAGCCCGATGTGGGACTCGATCCCGGTACTCCAGGATCATGACCTGAGCCGAAGGCAGTCGCTTAACCAACTGAGCCACCCAGGCGCCCCTCAATATGAATTTTTTTAAAAGATTTTATTTATTAATTTTTGAGAGCAAGAGTGAGAGCACGCATGAGCGGTGGGTGGGGGGCACAGGGAGAGGCAGACTCCCCGCTGAGCAGGGAGCCCAATGCGGGGCTCAATCTCAGGACCCTGGGATCATGACCTGAGCTGGATCATGACCCGAGCTGAAGGCAGATGCTTAATGACTGAGCCACCCAGGTGCCCCTACAATGAAGATTCTTATCTCCAAGAAAGAAACCCAAAGCTGATAAAAGCTATCATGAACTTACTTATAGGTATTACTTTTCTGACCTTCAGTCCTACCATAGATATCTTACCAATTGCTTCGGAAAAAAATGAAAGAAGCAGTCAAATCGGGTCACCATCTTTCCCATCCTTCCTGTACGGTATTTTTCAAATTTCCCAGTCGTTAAAAAAAGAAGCCTATTTCTCTTGTTCATACTGTGGATTTTTCTCCCAGCAGTGGATGTTTTGCCTTGGGGAATGGAAAGGGCAAAGCGCTACAGTACAGATTATTACTCAGACGGAAACCTGGCTAAGCCATAAGAAAAGCCAGCCTTGATACAGCTTCTCAGAAACTTTCTTGCATGTCTGATGGTATATGGATAATGATTTACTGAGCCAGCTGCGCTTAAGGAAATTAACAGAAATGTCTTAATAAACACATAGCAACTTTTGCTTGAAAAAAAAAAAATCAGGGGTGGGGCGCCTGGGTGGCTCAGTTGGATGGGCATCTGGCTCTTGGTTTCAGATCAGGTCGTAATCTAATGGGTTGTGGGATTGAGCCCTGCATAGGGCTCTGCACTCAGCGGGGAGTCTGCTTGATGATTCTCTCCCTCTGCCCTTCACCCCCCCAAAAATAAATAAATCTTTAAAAAATAAATAAAATTAAAAACTGGGGTACCTGGGTGGCTCAGTCAGTCAGGTGTCTGCCTTTGGCTTAGGTCATGATCTCAGGGTCCTGGGATTGAACCCTTAATCAGGCTCCCTGCTCAGCGGGGAGTCTGCTTCTCCCTCTCCCTCTGCCCCTCACCCCACTCCTGCACGCTTTCTCTCTCAAATAAATAATAAATAAATAATAAATAAAATCTTTAAACATAAAGAAATGGATGAATGAATAATCAATGATGGGGCGCCTGGCTGGTTCAGTCAGAAGAGCATGCTACTCTTGATCTCAGGGTTGTGGGTTTGAGCCCTGTGTTGGGCATAGAGATTACTTAAATAAATAAGTAAACTTGAAAAAAAATCAATGAGGTTGAAATTTGCAAAAGCATATACCCCTCCAAAGAGTCAATTCTACTGTATGAATAAAATAAAAAATAAAAATAAATTTAATGACATAGTTATTTATAGCTTAGTTTATAGTATATGTGGTACTTGAGAGTAGAAAAATTTTAAGATTTATTTATTTTAGGGGCACCTGGGTGGCTCAGTCGGTTAAGCGGCTGCCTTCAGCTCGGGTCATGATTCCAGGGTCCTGGGATCGAGCCCCGCGTCGGGCTCCCTGCTCGGCGGGGAGCCTGCTT